GAGGCTAGATCATGACCATTCCCTCTCTCTGCTCCACATAACCCGCCAGCGCTATCCACCCTTCTGGCATCTTACCAACAGTGCAGACGGGAGCTGAAGACAAATAGGTGATTTGGGACACTGATGGGGGCAGGGATGGGAAAGAAATACCTCCTCTTTGTCCGGCTTTCCTTTCTGCTACCCTCTCCAGGCACTTCTCCCCTTGCCCCTCCCACACATTCATCAAATGCCTTGCTCTCTCTTCACCTCCTCTTTTTAGCAATTCACATCTTTCAGAAGTTTGCAAAGAAGGAATCTCAGATAGTCCCATCCTCCTTGTTCCAGGAAATCAGCTCTAGAATAACCCCAACCTCATTTTAGATTCTGGAGTCCCTGCCAGTCAGTGTGTCCCACGCGCTACACAGCGTGGGCTCTGGCCTGCCTTGTCAGTTCAGCCGGCTTCCTCTGATGCTGTCCTCAGGCAGCGTTGGGAGGATACACCCCAAACACACAGACTGGCTTCATTATAAAGACCTCTCGATATCTGTATATTCAGACTCCCCAAACAGATCCAAACTGCTGAGCCTCTGGGAGAAGCTTAACACAGTTTAGAGGCTTTGTGAAAAGCTCTGTCCCAGAGCTGCTTTGGGGACACGGATGAATCCTGCTCACCAGCTTATCCTGGGTCTGAGGGCTCTGCGGATGGCCTCATCCTGCTCCAGGGACCATGTTCTTTCCAAAGAGAGGCACCTCTCTGGCACAGACCCCAAGGAGTTGTCCTGTCCCATCTCCATCCCCCCTCTTCCCTAGTCCAGGCCTGCTGTTTGCTCCAGCAAACATTCCTGCTCCAGTCCCTCCCCATCCCCACCTCTGAGCCTGTCTCCTGCTGCCTTTCCAACAACATCCCCAGCCACATCTTCTCCACCCCTGGTATTCTGATTTTATCTCTCCCATTTTCTTTGGTAAAAGGCAGAAAGCAAAGGTGGCTTACAGTTCAATAATTAGTTTCCCCAATGTGGGGATGTCACCTCGCCACCTGCATATCTCCCTCCACCCTGCTTTCAAGAGCTGGAAAAACAGGAAATAAAGTCCCAATCCAGGAAAATCACTCAGACGGAGAGCCTGAGACAGACGTCCTGGCCCTGTGCTCTTGTATGCATCTTACCTTGCTTAGCGGCCTGGCTGGGTCCTGCCTCTGAGAGTCTCCTGCAGTCTTTTGGCCTCCTTGGCCTCACCCTGAACTCTGGCAGCACTGAGTGTGTGCCAATGGCATCTGCCTCGCCCTTTCTACTGTCTCCTTCCCCACGGGCCTGGGCACACACGGCTTCTATGTTGGGGCATATACGTTGGGGTGCAGCAGGGTGGGGAGAGCTAACAGCGTCAGACACAGGCAGAGAGAGCTGGCTCTAGTGTCTCTGAATGGCAGGAGGTGAGGTTTACAGGTATAAGTTTCTGTCCTCTGCCCCAATCCTTGCCTCCACCTCCCCTTAGGGCTACAATTTCAGCTCACCCTAAAAGGAACTGGAGATACAATCAGGTGGGAGATCCCCTTCTTTCAGGGAGGCCCCCATAAACATAGGTAATAGGTAGGCAGCTGCCCTCATTGGGGTGATAGAAAGGTATTAGAAAGCCTTGCCCACCCTCAAATATTTCCCCCACCTGTGCTCGGGATCTGAAATTTCATTCCCTTCATGTTACCCATGAGCCACATTCTATCAGAGCTATAGGGACATTAGAGATCATTTTGCCTAATCCTCTTACATAGATAAATGCATTGGGCTAAGGCAGTGTTTCCAAAGATCCTATTAAAACACCCCTTGGAGGCCTGGGCCTGGTAGCGCAGTTGGTTGGAGCATCGTCCAGATACACCAAGGTTGCCCGTTCAACCTCTGGTCAGGGCACATACAAGAATCCACCAGTGAATGCATAAGTGGGATAACAAACGATGTCTCTCTCTCTCTCTCCCTTTCTCAAATCAATAAAAATCAATCAATCAATAAAACCCCTTGTTTAACATCCCTTGTTAGCTAGGAAGAATAAACACTTGAGCCGGTGAACCCATTCATGGAGTTTAATCAGATAAGCTTATTGTCATCTAGCAGAGAGCCTGGTTCAGGTAGGTAAGTGGGAATGGGGGTTAAGTGTTAACTGAGAATGGGGAAAGGTTGGAAATCATCCCAAGAGGACCCTCCTCAGTGGCCTTGGGAAGCCCAGAGTTCAACACAGTGAGGCCTAAAGGGTGAAGGGGAGACACAACCTCCCAGATGCCCCAGTGTGGGACTTTGAGCTTCAGAGGGGCACTCCAGGGTGTGTTCTCTGTCTGATGAGGTCTTTCTGCCTGAGGCAGCCCCTTTTAGCTTTTTACTCTATTCAAAAAGGTTTTCCAGAGCCCATGGCCCACCCTCACCTCCATCCACACCCATGTCCCCCATGTTTAAAAGAGGGGTGCCCCCCTTGTGCCCCCATGAGGTTCAAACCCACTTGCGACACCCCCATACCTGTGCTCCCTGTCAAGCTCTGCTGCTGCCTCAAGCTGGCTTCAGCTGCCTGCTCCGCGCTGGGCTGGGCTGGGCTGGGCTGGAAGGACCTGCTCCTGGGGCGGGTGGGGACACACCTACCAGCGCAGATCTCAACAGATTCTAGCTCCTTGTACTCACTCAACCCCACATGCGCAGGAAGAGCGAGGAGGAAGCGGTGCCTCCAGCAGTCTTCACAGGCTGGCCAGAGAAGAAATCCCAGCAGATAATGGCACTTAATCCAGCCCCAACTCTGGCCAACTAATGATCCGTCCCCCCATCACTCACATACTCCCCACAGTTTCCGGGAAGCCTGACTGACACACCCACCCACTGATGTGATGACTAACCTACCAGCCTCTCGATATTCTCACCGGTTCCCTCCCTCCGTGTGTTTCTCTTTTGGAGCCCTGCAGGTGGTTTTGCTCTGCAACTCGTGGCTTTATACCCCCCCCCCCCC